AGAACGCTTCGAATTATGTTGCAGCATCCGGAATGGAGGAATGCCAAATCAATCGGTCCTATTTTTGACGTTGGACGGTCGAGACCTGTATTCCCTGCTGAAAAATTTAGCGTTCTCGAATGTTCCTGTTGAATTGCCGTTCGAGCAGTTAAAATCCCTATTGCTGGACCACATTCTTCCAGTGAATTTTCAGGCCACTGAACGGGAAAAATTCAACTCAATGATCAGAGCTACCAACATACCGTACCGTGAGTTCATCCTTCAGTTGAATAAACAGGCGTCAAAATGCAACTATGGTGATCGATTGGAAGAATAGCTTAGTGATCGTCTCATTGCTGGAATCAACAACATCTCAATACAATGTCAGATGCCGAAGCTCAAAAAATCTGTGAGCAAAGCGATGATTTGTGTGCTGCCACAAATGCGGATACTCCTATATTATTCCATCGGCAATCAACGAAACCATTACATGATGCACCCAGTGTTCATAATTCAACCCCGGTTCAGCATTTCAAGGCTGCGACCAACCGTTGCTTTCATGTAGTGGATACAAACTTCGTTTGACTTGACGGTTCCGTAATGCCACTTGCCATACATGTGGTAAGATGAGCCATATCCACAAGGTATGTCGAATGCCCAAGTGCAACCTCGTCGATCCCCATATCTCAACGGCAGATGAGAATTCAAGCCCAATCTACATGCTACAGACCACTGAACGCAACAGCCAGTTCGTGTTCACCCCATTGGGGTTCGAGTCTGGTGGGGAGCATAAATCCATCATGGACACAGGAAGCAGTGAGTCTATCATACCGAAATCAGCACTCACTGCGATTTGTCCCAATGCTGTTCTAACCCCGACTTCAGAGCGCATTCATGGGGTTTTCGGTTATCAATTTCAACTACTTGGCGAAATGATATTATGCGCTCAATCTGAGTCCGGTGTGTTAATCCCGATCCGATTCCTGGTATCAGCTTACAGTCCGTGCATCCTGGGCCTGCGAGCAATGCGGTTACTACAAGGATCAATCACACTGCATACTAATAACGATAAGCCAATAACCTCACATCTTCAACATTTGATTGTAAAATGTTCCGGTAACGTTGGTGGCATGAAGGTACCGTCGGAAAAATTGGAATTGGACGGTGAACCTATTTTCCTAAAACGACGCATCCCCCCATACGGTCAATGGGAAGGTGTCCTGAAAGCGTTACAGAAAATGGAACGGGATGGTGTGATAAGCAAAGTTGAATCCAGTGCCTGGGTGACCCCGATTGTTGTGGCGATGAAAAGTGAAGGTAGGACACCACGGATCCGTGGAGACTATCGACTAACGTTGAATCCCAGACTGCGGAGATATGCAGCGACCACCATGGAACCAGAGGATTTCATGAAGTCATTGCATGGGTACCAGTATTTTTGCAAGATCGATTTGGTGGACGCATACATACAGATTCCACTCGATGTCGAATCTCGCTACTTGACAACAATCAACACGCCGTGGGGAAATGTAATGATTGTAGAAGTAGTAGTAGTGAAGTTACGCACAGAATTCAGGACAAGAACTACACGATAGGAATCACGGAACACGAATTAGAAAACTGATGGCACTGGACCGCAATGGCTCGAACTCGCAATAACCCGCAGGATCGAGACGCGAGGAAAAAGGCCACAAGACAGGCGAATCACAAAGTCGTTTATTGAAGGAAATGAAAGTGAATATATATGTACACAAGAAAAGATCATTGGCTACCTTAGTTTCCTCCAACCATATTGCATCACATCTTGCGTCATATTGCTCTTCTCTGCATTTTATCTGATTGGCTGGAACAGTTCACCAATGACGTGTATCCGGAGGCTGTGCACGTGCTACTGATGTCAGCGCTCAAGGTTGATTGACTACCAATGTCCTGAAACTGTACCGCGCTGCTCCAGGGCAGGCGTGATCTCGTAGATCCGAATCACCACAGGAAAGCACCAGTATAATTTTCTCCCGTTCGGATTGCGTGTGTCGTCTGGCCTCTTTCAATCGGCAGTAGACAGTATAATCAAAAGACTCGACGGTGTGCTTACATATCAAGATGACGTCCTCATTTTCGACCTTAATAAGAAAGAACACAATGCCCGTCTTACGCAGCTACCGAAACGATTCGTCGCCAGAAACGTAGCTATCAAGCCGTCCAAATGTGTGTTTGGTGTAAGTGAGTTAAACTTTCTAGGATTCCCAATTGATTCCCGTGGATACCTTCCCGATCCGACACGTTTCAAACTATTGACTAACATCGAATCTCCAAAGGATCAAACACATTTGAGATCCGTGATGGGATGCCTGCAGTACAATTGCCGATTTATCCCGAACTTTGCTGCAAGGGCGCAGCCGCTTTTCCGTGCTCAGTGTTCAGACGCTTGGGAATGGTCGATGGAGT